CCCCAAAACCCCAAAACCCCAAAACCCCAAAACCCCAAATCTATATAATTAATTTGAAAATCCAAAAATATGAGTTATATGCTGAACCCCAACATTCTTGTACTCAAGGATGGAACTGACGAGTCACAAGGAAAGGGACATATCATCTCTAACATCAACGCCTGCCTCTCTGTTGTTGACGTGATTAGAACCACTCTTGGACCAAGAGGAATGGACAAGCTTATACATACCGAGAAAGATGTGACCATCTCAAATGATGGAGCCACTCTCATATCTCTCTTAGATATTGTCCACCCAGCCGCCAAGACTCTTGTTGATATTGCAAGAAGTCAAGATAATGAGGTCGGTGACGGAACCACCTCTGTTACCCTTCTTGCAGGAGAGCTTCTTAAGGAAGCCAAGAACTTCGTTGAGGAAGGGATGCACTCTCAAATCATTATTAGAGGATTCAGAAAGGCCAAGACTGAAGCAGTCAAAAGGATCAAGGAAATCTCAGTCAAGCTTCATGACAAAGATGACGAAGAGAAAAAGGACATGCTTAAGAAATGCGCCATGACCAGTTTGAACTCCAAACTTATCAATACTTACAAAGAATTCTTCGCAGATATGGTAGTCGACGCTGTCAGCCATCTTGATGATGACCTCAACAAGAAAATGATTGGTATTAAGAAAGTCACCGGTGGTAGTGTTACTGATTCCATGCTAGTAGAGGGAGTAGCCTTTAAGAAGACCTTCTCCTATGCTGGATTTGAGCAACAAAAGAAGGAGTTTGAAAATGCTAAGATCTGCCTTCTTAACATGGAGTTAGAACTTAAGAGCGAGAAAGAGAATGCCGAGATTAGAATTGAAAACCCAGAAGAATACCAAGCCATTGTTGATGCTGAATGGAGAATAATTTATGACAAACTAGATAAGATTGTTGAGTCTGGAGCTCAAGTCGTCCTCTCTAAATTACCAATTGGAGATCTTGCTACCCAATACTTTGCTGACAGAGGACTTTTCTGTGCAGGAAGAGTTAATATTGAAGACCTTAAGAGAGTCTCAGCTGCTACTGGAGCTCAGATCCAGACAACTCTTGCAGGATCAACTGATTTCCTTGGAATTTGTGGTAAATTCGAGGAAATCCAAATCGGAGATGAGAGATTCAACATGTTTACTGAATGTAAATCTGCTAAGAGTGTCACTCTTATCCTTAGAGGAGGTGCTCAACAATTCATTGAAGAAGCTGCCAGATCTCTCAATGATGCCATTATGATTGTCAGAAGAGCAATCAAAGCTTATGCTGTAGTTGCTGGGGGTGGTGCAATCGAGATGGAACTCTCTAGGCATTTGAGAGGATATCTTAGAACGATCTCAGGCAAAGAGCAATTGGTAATCAATTCTTTCTCTAAGGCTTTGGAAGTCATTCCAAAGACTCTTGCTGATAACTCTGGAATGGATGCAACTGAGATGGTTAACAAGCTCAGACAGAAGCACAATGTTGGTGATGTCGAAGAAGGTATGTGGTACGGAGTTGACGTTCTCAATGAGAGAGTAGGAGATACCTTCGAGCAATTCATCTGGGAACCAGAGCTTGTAAGAATCAATGTCCTAGTTGCTGCTACTGAGGCTGCTTGCAGAATTTTGAGTGTTGATGAGACAGTCACTAATCCTTCAAGCGAACAAGACCAAAATGAGGCAAGACGTATGGCTGCTCTTCAAGGAAAGCAACCACAAATGGGCCGTGGAATGCGCGGAAGAGGAGGAAGATAAATTGTTAATCTAAAATCAACTAAATAATCATCTGCCGGGGTTTTGGGGTTTTGGGGTTTTGGGGTTTTGGGGTTTTGGGG